TCTAGTTTAAGCTACTACAATGTAATCTAACATCTGACCAGGTAATCAGTGCTTCGAACATCCTGTTTTATCTAATCAGCTCTGACAGTGTGACTTTAGTTGTGACAGAATAAATTATAGCCTAGTTCTGTGCCATCTTTAGTATATACAATGGTATGTTTGAGCCAATTACTTTAGAAATGCTGTCAATCCACTTAAGGTTTTCTTTTCTTTTTACATTGATTTTCTACTTCAGTTCATTAAACATAACAAGCTTTTCTGGAAATTGGCCTTTTTATGACGTGTCCAAAGTAAATGAGCAGAAGTTTTGTCATCCTCACTTCTAAGCAGCATTTTAAGGATGTAGTAGGGGGTACCCCCCAAATCCTGAAAGTGCACTGGACGGAGTAGAGCTTAAATAGTCCACATTTTCCCCATAGGTGAGCATCTAGCAACTTGCTCTTAGTGCACTCAGTGGTGTTGCCTGGGAAGGTTCTCTCTGGTCACAGTGTATTTTTTCATAAAAGCAGTTTCGCTGGAACCTCGTTTTTAGTGGTGGCCAAATTAAAAGAACAGCATGTGGCTGTGGAATTTTGTTTTCTGCTCAGGGAAAAATGCGGCAGAAACTGTTGTGATGTTGAACACACCTCACGAGCTAGGGGAAAACTCAAGTGTATAAGTAGTTTTCTCATTTCAAAATAGGTGAAATGTTGATTTATGACAAACTTAGTTCTGGATGTCCGCCAAGTTCCCGAAGGGACAAAAATGTCAGCTTGTCTGATGATGTGCTGTTGCCAGGGTAATCCTGCTCCGCACGAGGAATGGCAGGTTCAGACATTTGGGGTATGTGCTTGGCTGAGGAGCCAATGGGGCAAAGCTACCATCTGTGGGATTACCACTGAACACCTCTCAGTCAGCATCCCGCCCAGGAGCAACCATAAGGCAGTGCTGCGGAGCCTCGGTTGACCTCAGGTAGCCAGTGCCCCGCCGTCCAGCCGGTGGGACACGCTCACATCCAGCTTGAGGAGCCTCGCAAGCAGGTCCCCAGGGTCCGGTGCAGAGTGCCTTTCTAGGAAACGGGGTGCGGAAAAAGGCGGCCGCCCCTTCGCCCATCACACACCGCAAGTTTGTGGGGAGCCTGGTGCTAGCTAAACTATTCATAGACGACACGCTTCTCGGTCGGGATTTCCTACGTAGCAGAGCAGCTCCCTAGCTGCGATCTACTGAAAGACAGCCCTCCTCGACACAAGGGTTTGTAAATGAAAATATAGGAAAAAAGTTTAATAACAGAAAATAAAAGAATAAAAATTTATTTTTAAATGTCGACTTGTAAGTGCATTTGGAGTCTGTCCCACCAGGTCAGACTGTTAACCAAACTTCCTATTTGGAGGTTCTGAAAAGATTACATGACAGTGTGCAACGAAAAATAGCCTGATTTGTGGCAGACTGGAGATAGGTTTTATCACCATGACAATGTATCTGCTCATGCAGCCATCTCAGTGTGCCAGTTTTTGGCAAAAGACAGCATGCCTCTCTTGCCCCATGCACCCGACCTTGCTCCTTTTTGAAAAGGGGCATTGAAGGACAGCAATTTCATGGCACAGAAGAGGTGAAGAAAAAACAGGGAGGTGCTGACAGACATCCATACAGAGGAGTGTAAAAATTGTTTCCAAGATTGGAATCACCGATTTGGCAAATGTATTTAGTGTAATGGAGAGTATTTTGAAGGTGATATAGCTGTTTTGTAAAAAATTTAAATACACAGCTTTGAAAAATAATTCCGTTTTTTACTGGGAGGGTGGGTTGGAAAGGGAGAACCTATTACAAGGATCTACATGCAACCTCCTCCCTGGGGGACGGACAACAGAAAAGTGGGTGAAGGGAGATGTCGGACAGGGCAAGATATGACAAATTAATGATTTATAAATTATCAAGGGTTCATGAGGGAGGGGGGAGTAGGGGAGGAAGGGGAAAAATGAGGAGCTGATGCCAGGTGCTTAAGTGGAGAGCAAATGTTTTGAGAATGATGAGGGCAATGAATGTACAAATGTGCTTTACACAATTGATGTATGTATGGATTGTGATAAGAGTTGTATGAGCCCCTAATAAAACAATTTTAAAAATTCCATTTTTTCTGGGTACCCCCTTATATATGTATTTTTGTGGGCATATCTGTATGTACATATGTTTGCATGTGCTAAATATATACCCATATACACAGTAATGCCCATAAGAGTCAGCTACAGATACTTTTAAAACATTTCCCAACATTGTGTGGGATTTTTGAGGGACGGCTCAGGACCATAGTCTCATGGGACAAGCAGGTCAACTGGCATAGCAAGTTCCGAAAGATAAAGCTCTATACCCTAGTTTGGCAAGCTTATGACTTTATGAGTAGCTACTTCAGATATAGCTAGTAGTTTCTTCACATCTGGAGTAGAGGAAGGACGGGAACCTTCAGTAATGACTACTACTACTGAAGGAAACCAAAGACTCATAGAAAAAATTAGCCCCACGTGCCACAGCCTAAGACCAGAAGAACTAAGGGGACTTGGTTACAAACATCAACCATTCCCATCAAGAATGCAATAGAAGGACCCAGTTAGAATGAGAGAAAAATGTACAACAAAATTCCAATTCATAAAACAAACCACAACCCCCCCAGACTTAATGAACTGATAGAGGCCAGAGAAACTCCCAAGACGATTGCCCTAAAATACTGTTTTAACTTGGAACTGAAGCTACTCCAGCAGGTCTTTGTTCAGCCAAATAGATTGATCTATAAAAGAAACAATAACAGCCTTGAGGAATGTGTTCCTTCAAACACGGACTACAGGAGATTTGACCGTTAACATTTACACAAAAGCAAAAATGAAAAGGCAAAGGCAGGCAGGGAAACTGGATGGATGGAAATGATAAGAGAAATGAAGCATTAGAGATGGTAATCAGTGTCACAGAATAATGTGTGTATGGACTATGAATAGGAAACTAATTTGCTGTGTAAACTTTGACCTTAAAAAAAAAAAGTAAACAGAAGAAAAAAAGAAGGGTTTGTGGTAGTAACATGGAGTCCCTGAGTGGTACAAAGGGTTAAGTGCTTAGTTGCTAGCCAGAACGTTAGAAGTCCAAGTCCACTTGTGTCTCAAAAGGAAGTTCACAGCCTTGAAAACCTAACACTCATCCAAGTTACAACAAATGGCTTCTAAACAACTGAAACAGCATAGGAAGATGAAATGTCAGAAAGGGAAAGAAATGAAATCGCTAGTTGGCTTCTTGAACAACGGCCTCCATTGCCAGGAGACCAGAAAAACTGGATGGTGTCTGGCTACCATGACCGCCTGTTTTGATAAAAAATTCCATAAATGATCAAAAATGAGCACATACACAACAGAAATAAAAATTCTCTCAGATTCCAAACTTTTAGGAGGTGTGGAAGTACCCCTCAAATTTATTGCTGAGAGCAATTGAATGAACCCCTAAAATTTATTGTTCTGAGAGCAATTTGAAAGTGCTTAAACCTTGAAACTAAGCTACAGATATCCCCTGAAATAATTTTTAAAACTGAAGAATAGGGGGTGTGGGGGCAAAAAAATCTCCCCCAAAAACTGAAGAATAAGTCATAAACGTCTACCTCGAGCACTGTGCTTTTAATAGCTATCTTTATGGCATCCAATCAAGAAGAGCAGTTCAAAAGATTACACAGCAAACTCAAGGGCAGGGACTTTAGGCTAATGGAAAAGCACTCTGGGAAAGAACGACTGCGCAATTTGAAGAACGTAATCAGTGTCACTGAATTAACACTAGATGTAGAAACTGCTATGTTGGTCAATATTCTTTATAAATTCTCAACAATAACATGAATGCAACACATTAAAAATTTAATAGTATATATGAATTTCCATAAAGGGCTATGTCTTATGCTTTTTTTCTACCTTTATAACCACAGACTTTTAAAATGTTACTAATAAATACACATATTCATGAACAAACACAAAATAATGGGCATTTTATCTCTTCCAGTTGGTGACCAGATTTCTAAATTTCTTGGCCTAGATGAGGAAGCACTTTCAAGCACTGCAATCATTTGCTCAATCATCTCAACAGGAACCATCCAGTACCTCTCTCAGAATCCCCCCTTGCCTTAGACACAGGTATCATTTAGCTATTAACAAGCTTAAAAAAAACAAACAAACAACCCCCCAAAACACCAAGATTTCTTTGTTTGAAAACATTTTTATAGTGCTAAAATTGACTATTCTTTTTTTAAATCTTAAATCATTCTTTGTTAACTCTCACTAAGACTATTTTATGACTTCATTTTTCTGTTCTAGATTGTCAAGTTTTAAACTCTTTTGCCTTTTGTTTACTTTAAATGCAATTGTTAAACATAGAGAAATGCATTTAGATATAATTCTTTTGAAATATGTGAAATCAATTTTTCTTAAAATGTTCTTGCCTTTCCACATCCCAGTGAGGTTCTTTGACTCTCTAGCACTGTACATGCACAGGTGAATGCGTACCGGTGTTCGTGTGAGTGCTGTGTTGTATGACTTTGGATAATCAATTTACTTTGTAATGCTTTAATGATAAAATGGATGAAATGCCATTTAACGTACACAAAAAGTGGCTATGAGGATATGAAAGGTATAAAACACACTATTAACAACAAAAATAGTAGGAAAGCCCTTTGAAATATTTAAGGTTCTATTATTGGGCAGGTCATAAAAGTATGATAGTTTGATTTTAGCTTCAACTTAACAGTTATAAGAATTCTCCACAGACTGATTTTATGAAAGGCTACCTTTGAAATAATGACCTGAAATAATTATTCTAAACTTAAAACCTTCAGCAAACATGGCTTTATTTTCACTCCAACTTGATATAATCAAAATACTTTCAATAAAGGAAACAAGAATAGCAATTTTCAAATTTAAGAGTAAAATTAAAATTGAACACTTACTTACTAAAAGAAACACACACACACACACACACACACACACACACACACACACAAAGTTTACCTTTCTTCCAATATGGATTCCTGGAGTATCAGCTTCCACAATAAATCCAGTAAAGGCTTTACTAGCAGGAGTCTTAGGATTTGGATCAGAACGGGCCAATAAAAAATACCTAGTATGCACACAAATAAGATGATTATGATAATAGTATCAGCAGATATAACATACGGTGACTGCTCTTAGTTAATAAATTCAACAATCCCAAATTATTATTACCCCTAGTTTTAGAGAGACTAATCAGAGAGGTTTAAAAACTTGCCCAAGTTTTATACCTAGGCTATGGCAGAGCAAGTAGTCCAACCTAGGTATACCTGTGAATTACTCTGGTATTCAACTTTTTGGTAGAAAGAGTGTAAGTCAAAATTCCTTGTATCAAGATAATGTAATAAAAGAATGTGCATGTTGAAACCAGAAATTTTCTTCCCCCAAACTAGTTTTATGCAAGACAGAGTTATCTGGGAAAGGAGAACAAAGAAAGCTGCTTATAAAAATGGTATTTGCTAGTTTTCCTCCAGAGAGATTCTGACATGAAAAACAAATGGAGGGAAAACTGTGAAGCACTTTTGTAATTCTAATCCAAGCTTTAAATAGCCAGGTCCAGCCAGAATGCACCTTAGAAATGAGGATGGTGAGGCTTTCGCTCATGTACGTTAGATATGTTATAGAAGAGACCAGTCCCTGGAAAAGGGCATCACGCTTGGTAAACTAGAGGTCAGAGAAAAAAGAAGACTCACGATGAGACGGACTGCCAGTGACTGCTACTGTGGACTCAAGCCTGTAACTGTGAGGATGGCACAGAGCCAGGTAGGGTTTTGCTCTGTTGTACATAGGGTCTCTATGAATTGGAACCAACTTCACGGCAGATAACACAGTTTACCTAAGTAAAATTCTGTCTTCATCTAGGAGTTAAGGTCACTTCTGTTCAATGCTTACAATATGAAAGAGTGCTTACTAGTGTCTTTCTTTGTCCCTCAGACTCAGACCAAGAGTTTCAATGAAGTGCTAGTGTAGGTGGTGGGAAGTTACAGATACTAGGGCAGATAGCTAAGGCTGCCATCAACCAAATTCAATCAGAGCAGGTACTTGTTTTTTACATATCAAATTTCTAAGAATTAATTTGAAGCAGTTCAGAGCTTTAAAGGCTTTTAAAAATTCACTTAATTTTTCCCCACATAATTTCTTATGTATCTTCCAGTTCTATAAACATGTTGGTGGTCAGAGGTGAAACTGCATCAGTTCTGACTCAAAGACGCTTTGTACAACAGGACAAAACACCGTCTCACTTCGTTTTTTAAAATAATTTTATTTGGGACTCTTACAACTCATCACAATCCACACATCGATTGTGTCAAGCACATTTGTTGCCATTGTCATTTTCAAAATGTTTTCTTTCTACTTGAGGCCTTGATAACAGAGTCTCATTTTTCCCCACCCTACCTCCCTCATGAACCCTTGATAATTTATAAATTAGTATTGCTTTTTCATGTCTTACACTGACTGATGTCTTCCTTCACCCACTTTCTGTTGTCCATGACCCTGGGAGGGGGTTATATGTAGATCATTGTGATCGGTTCCCCCTTTCTCCCCAGCACCTTTCCCTTTCCCTTCCCCTCCTGGTATCACTACTTTCAATATTGGTCCTGAAGGGTTTATCTGTCCTGGATTCACTGTGTTTCCAGCTCTTACCTGTACCCATGTACATGCTCTGGTCTAAACGGATTTGTAAGGTAGAATTAGGGTCATGATAGTTGGGGAGGAGGAAGCATTAAAAAACTAGAGGAAAGTTGTATGGCCGCGTGTTTATCTTCAAGCCTTTAAGACACCAGATGCTGCTATATCTTTTGATAGCCGGGCAACATCACCTTTCTTCCCCACATTTGCTTATGCACCCACGTTGTCTTCAGCGGTTGTGTCAGGAAGGTATCATGGAATACCAGGTTAATAGAACAAAGTGTTCTTGCATTGAGGGAGTACTTGAGTAGAGGCCCAATCTCTGTCAGCTATCTTAATATTAAACCCATAAAAATATGTACATAGATCTATTTTCCTATCGTTATATATAAATATATATACATATGTACATGCCTGTATTTAGACCTCTATAAATGCCCTTTGCCTTCTAGTTCTTTCTTCTATTTCCTTTTACTTTCTTCTTGTCCAACTATCATGCTCAGCCTTCATTAGGGTTTCAGTAATTCCTCTTAGTTATATTGCCCTTGATCAAGCTCTACCAGGTGTCCTACACCTTCCTTGCCATCGATTTTAGATCACTTGTTGTTCCCCTGTCCCTGGGTTTGTTAACACTCACTTCCTTTCCCCCATCTCACCCTCTCCTGTGTCCCCCCAGAACCGTCGGTCCCTTGATTTTCTCCTCTGGATTGTTTATCTTACCTATCTTATCTAGATAGACATGCAGAGACAATAATATGCACAAAAACAAGATAGAGCAAAACAAAGCAACAAAAGAAAAGAAAACAACAACAACAACAAAACCCAACGACAAAAAAAGAAAAGCCTATAAATAGTTTCAGGTCTGTTTGTTGACCTTTAGGAGTGTTTTCCGGTCGCATCTGGACCATTTCACTTCTAAGGAACATTCTGGCGGTACTTCTTCCATCACAGATATATTTGTTCTCTTGGCAGTCAATGGCATTTTCCATTCTTCACTACCACCACAATTCAATGCATCAATATTTATCTGTTCTTACACAATCAATGTTCAGTTTCACATGCATATGAGGCAACTGAAAATACAATAGATTGGATTAGGTGCACCTCAGTCTTCAAAGTGGTACCTTTGCTCTTCAAGACTTCAAAGACATACATTTCTGGACAGCTCCTTCCATGATCATTGATTTTGAGTTCAAGCAAAAGGAAATCCTTGACAACTCCAATCTTTTCTTTTTGTTATCACGATGTTCTCTATCTGTTCTGTTGTGAGGATTCTGGTCCTTTTCACACTGAGCTCTAATCGATACCAAGGCTACAGTCCTTGATATTCATCAGCAAATGTTTCAAGTTCTTCTCTCCGTCATCAAGCATGGTTTGTCGTCTGCATAAAGCAGCTTGTTACTAAGTCTTTCTACAACCCTGAAACTTTCATACAGTCCTGCTTTGAAGATTATTACTCAACATATAGATTAAGTACCACAATTGCAACTATCTAAGAATAAAGAGCAACGAAACCCTGAATATAAGATAATTAAGAGGTAATATACAGAGAAGTGGCAAACAACATACCAATTAGCTTTTCCTCCATTAGTTATCCACATCTTCTGACCATTAATAATATACTCATCTCCTTTCTTTTCTGCTTTGGTACTTAAACCAGCTACATCAGAGCCTGCTCCAGGTTCTGTTACACAATAGGCCTTAAAATATGAACACAAGAGAAAATATTACATGCTAGTTGTTAAATTACAAAGGTTTGAAAAAGTATTTTATTTTTTAAAACAGTATTTAAAGAATTTTAAACTAACCTAAAAATAATCTTACAGAACCAAATAACTTGGTAAAATGTAATACAGTTAAGACAATGAAATTAGATGCAGGCTATCAATAAGCCAAGTCAAAAATTAAAATGTTAGATAAGCTCAACCAAATTAAATTTAACTTTACATACTCTCATTCATTAAAGCATTTACTATCTACTAAGTACCTGATTATGACCCATAAGACAGAGAAGCAGTGATGACAGATCTCGTATCCCCCAGATCGTCACAATGCAACAATGGATACAAGCATTTTATTCATATCTGTGTGAAAGGTATGCATACAAAAGGGGCTTATGAATTCAGCTTAGCTTCAGAGTGACAGGAAAAGTTTCCCAGAGAGAATGATGATTAAATTAAGTCTCAAAATGGATGAGAAGTTCTTTGGGGAGAAACGGAGAGAATGATGTGTATTCTACGTGGAAGTAATAGCACAGGCAATGACACCAATAAAAGAGGAGAATATCCTTAGCATGTAAATTCTGTATCTATATAAACAAGAATGGTTGAAAATGAGTCTGGAACTAAAAGAGGAGAGATGATAAAGATATCTTTGTATCACAATAACCAAACTCATTACCATCGAGTCAATGCTGACTCATAGAGATCCCCCTGTGATTTTCCTAGACTATAACGGTTTATAGGAGAGTAGAAAGCCCAGTGTTTCTCAGAGCTGCTGGTGGTTTCAAACTGCATACCAAGCAGAACGCAGTCCAATATGCAACCATTACACTACCAGGACTCCTTCTTAGAACACAATCAGAAGTTAAAAGAGCTGCGTTAAATTCTTAAACAGGAATGACAAGATACAAGTAATGAATTAAGGGGTTGGAAGACATATATTTAGGTAATTTGACTGTGAATATTTAAAATAAATTTCCTTTGCTTTAAGGTACTTAACAGTCCAAATGAAAAAGAAACCTTAGCAATGAATCTTAATTCATAATAAGGGTATAGAAGAACATTAACATGACTGCTTGAGAGAGGAGTCAAGATTGTGTCCAGGTAGAATCTCCCACCCGGCACTCCTGTTGCTAGACCAGAAAATTAAGAGGTAAGGAGGCCAATACTGGGAGGCTGGGTGCTAAAACTAGATTCAGTGTACTAAAGTCTGTTTCAGACCTCCCTCTGATTTTCACAACACGAAGCAACTCGAACACACACTGAAATGCTCTAAGCTCACTGCATTTGTCAGGGCTCAGCTAACCCCTTACCAGGTACAGCAGGATGGCATCTGCCATCCCTTCCTGCACCCAAAATACACGCTGCAGCGAGCAAGTAATTTCCCCAGGCTGTTGTCTAAAAGTGGTCATAATCACAGGCTTGCAGAGAGCCACGAGAGCTAGGCACAAGACCTCACAGCGGAGCTCCCGTCTCTGCTATCCTCCCTGCTCCAGCAGTCCAGGAAAAGAGTGACTACATCGGCCATCCCTTTCCCCCTCCCTAGCTCCACGCCTGCCAGTGTGGGTAACGATAGATAATTAGATAATAATTTGCAGCAATTGAAGAGCTGTGGGGAGATTTACCTGTGACAGAACAGAGTTCCCCAAAGCACAACTGGCAGTGTCATGCAGGATAAAGACTGGAGTGACACGGGAATGTAGCCAGGGTCGAGAATTCAGTTCTAGACAGCCCCAAACCCACTCCACTACTACAGTCCCCTTCCCCAGGGGATACCACGGCACAGCCCCGATAACAGGGCACCCCACAAGCCCGTTATATAAAGGGGGTAATTTTTTATTTTTAAACAAAGGGGAAAAAAAAGCTTTCAATTCTAGGACATATGGGCGAATATCAGACTTATAGGCTTGGACTGGACTTGGTTGGGATTCTTTCTTAATGTATAATTACCCTTTATACAAAACTCTTATACACATGAGTTTCTATGAATTTGTTTCTCTAGTCTACCTGGACACCCTTGAATAGCAATAGAAGACAAATAATAAAAATCAGGGCAGAGTTAAATGAGACAAGAGAACAATGCAAAAAAAAAAATCAATGCAGCAAACAGCTGGTTCTTTTCTAATGAATTCAACAACATGGAAGATATGGACAAACACTTGGAAAAACAATCCTTCCCTGTTGGGAGCTGCTCTGAAAGCAGAGGTCTGTTCGTTCAAATGTGGACATGCAGACACAGCTCTCTCACGGTCAGATTGTCTCTCTCACAGTCAGATTGACTTTTGTGCTTTAATGTTATTGAAAATATTAGGTGCTTAGCCTTGGAAAAAATATTTGCCAGACAAACAAGTTGAAGACTTTCATAAGAATGCTTTGTTTGACATTCCCGCTAACAGTGTATAAAAGCTTGCTAGAAAATAAACTTGGGGCTGCAGTCCTGAATTGCAGTCCTCCTGATCCCAGCTCTTTTGTGTCTGTCTTTTCTTAGTCCTCACCCCCTCAATCGAGTCCCCGTTGCTCTGCTGACGGGCTCCGGCACTTCCCTAGATTATCACAGAAAGAAAGAGGTCAAGGACCTCAACAGACCCATAGTAAAAGAAGAACTGGATATGGTTACCATAAAATGAGCAACGTAAAAAGCTCCCAAGCCAGATGGCTGCACAGGAGAATTCTACCAAGCATTCAGGGAAGAACTGGCACTGATCCTCCACAAATTATTCCAGAGCATAGAAAAAGAGGGCAAACTTCCAAACTCATTCTATGAAGCCCGTATAACTTTGACACCCAAATAAGGCAAGGATCCCACAGGAATAGAGAAGCATAGACTGATATTTCTAATGAACATAGATGCAAAAATCCGTAACAAAATACTGGCCAATAGAATATGAAAGTATATAAAACATATCATAACTCATGATCAGGTGGGATTCATTTAGGGAAGGTCAAACATCTGAAATTCCGTCAATATTATTCACCATATTGGTAAAAGAATTAACAATCATATAATAATAATCGATAGACCCAGAAAATGCATTTGTAAACATTCAACACCATTTCCTAATTAAGGCACTTCAGAAGATAGGAATGGAAGGAAAATTCTTAAAGTTAATACAAGCTATTTATGAAAAGCCAACAGCCAACATCACAGTCAATGGAGAAAGATGAAAACAATCCCACTGAATAAGGGGACCAGACAAGGATGCCCCTTCTCCCAGAGGTCCTAGCTAACAACAAAAAGGCAGCGGAAAGACATTAAAGGTATCCAACTGGGAGAGGAGGAGGTGAAACTATAGCTATTTTCAGACATGATTCTATACATTGAAAATCTCAAAAGCTCCACAACAGGAGTACTGGCAGTGATAGAGGAATATGGAAGAGTGGTAGAATACAAGATCAACAAACAGAAGTCTACTGGTTTGCTACATACATCGAACAAGACCATAGAAGAGGAGTAAGAAGACAGGTACCCTTCACAATAGCCAAAACAAATAGAAATATCTAGGGATATATTTAACCAAAAAAAGGAAAGACTTATACAAGAAAAACTACAGGCTCCTACTACAGGAAACCAAAAGTGACCTCCACAAATGGAAGAATATCCCACGCTCATGGATTGGAAGACTCAATATAGTAAAGATGTCAATCTTACCCAAGGCATTATGTAAGTTTAATGCTATCGAAATTCAAATACCAATAACCTTCTTCAAAGAATTGGAAAACTGACCACCAATTTCATATGGAGAGTGAATAAGCCCAGAATTAGCAGAGAACTACTTAAGAAAAGGGAAAAATTTGGAGGGCTCACCTTACCTAACTAACTTTAACACCTACTACACAGCCACAGTGGTCAAAACAGCGTGGTACCGGGATAATGACAGATACTCAGACCAATGGAAAAGAACAGAAACCCCAGAAATAAAACCCTCAAGCTCTTCAACAAGGGCCCAAAAACATCAAGTGGGAGGTGGATGCCCTCTTTAACAAGTGGTACTAGAAACAATGGATATCCATGTGTAGAACAATAAAACAAGGTCCTTACCACATCCCACGCACAAGAACAAACTTAAGGTGGATCACAGACCTAGAAGTAAAACCCCACACTATCAGGACCATCAAAGAAGGAATTGGACAGGCCTGAGAACCTTGGCTCAGAGTAGGCTAACTGCAGTAGTGAAGGGTATATACACAGGTGAACCTGAAATGGGTTAAGTGGGATATACTAAGGATAAAACACCTGTGGGTATCAAAAGACTTCACCAAGAGAGTAACAAGGGAACCCACAGACTGGGAGAGGATTTTTAGCAATGACACATCAGACAGGGGCTTTTTATTAAAATCTACAATACCCTCCTAGC